AGCTGAAGTGAAAAGGTCCACAGGAGGCACAATTGCATTTGCATCATAACATGTTTCTGTGTGGTTCCTCCAAGCCCTCCACACTCTTGGAGGATGTCTGCTTTCAACTGGTCTTTCCCAGGGATGGCTGCACAGACAAATGGTCTTTAATCATGACTTGCAAGATGTGTGAAAGTCTGCAGCCTGGAAGGCAGCCACTGTTGTGTGAAGCATGCGATCCTTGATGTGCCCATATCAGATTCTGTGTAGAATTTAAACCAGGCAGCTCAAATTAGCATGGATCAGGGAAGCTGCTGTCCCACTTGTGTACGTGCCACTTTCTAATGCAGCACTTTACACAGGAATCAGCAGTGAAACAATCCTCAAGCCAGCTTCAATTACTGAAGAGGAGCTACTGGATTTGATCAGCAAACTGAATAACGATGCCAACGTGGATGGCCTGTTAGTGCAGCTTCCTTTACCTGGTGAGTAGCTGGGTCTCAACCTGCTTCATTTTTTGCATTAGGCTGTTATGAGTTTAGATGCCAGAAGGAGTTGTAGCTCAGGAGTCCTCCTGTGACGTGACAAGTGGCACTGTGCCACGGTGCAAGCTTAAAGATAACACTGCTCCATCATACAGTGCCTGTAAGTTGCTGGGGGCAGTGGAAATCTGATCTTTGTTGGTGGTATCAGCTTCATGCACCAGGAGCTCGAATTTGGCAGTAAAGCTGCAGCTGTCTAAAAATATCCATGCTCCATTAGCAGCAGTGTAGTCCCCAAGTGGTCCCAGTCCCCTTCTGCTGGGAGCTGTTAGCCTTTAGCTTGCTGGAAGCTTGGAATAGCTTCAAACCCCCAAACTGTAATGATTCTGAGGGACTGGTGCAGCGAATCAGGTTTTTTGGCTGATGCTTTGCTTTTTTTTGTTTTCTTTCTCTTTTCCAGAACACATTGATGAGCGGAAGATTTGCAATGCTGTGACTCCAGACAAAGATGTTGATGGCTTTCATGTGATAAACGTGGGGCGCATGTGCCTTGACCAGTACTCCATGCTGCCAGCCACCCCGTGGGGGGTGTGGGAGATCATAAAGAGAACAGGTGAGCCGCTGCAATATTTGGCTGCTGTTTGCTCCAGCTCCAGCTTGTATTTGTCTTAAGACTCTGTTTTGTCTATTTCAGGCATCCCAACGTTGGGGAAGAACGTGGTGGTGGCTGGCCGGTCGAAGAATGTGGGGATGCCCATTGCCATGCTGCTGCACACAGATGGCAGGCACGAGCGCCCAGGAGGTAGGAGCTTGTTGGTCTCAGAGCCTGTGTACCAGGCAGCTGTGGGAGGAAGCCCTCCACCTGTCCCACAATCCTTGCTAGGCTCTTAAACCAGCCCCAGGCCTGCTTGTGTGCTGTGGTGGAGGCTGGGGAGTTAACTCTGCACACAGGCAATCAGAGCCTTCTTCAGTTAGTTGTTCTTCACCAGATCTGGGTTCTGTGCTACTAAAACCTTCTTTGGAGCTGAGATTTCAGTCTGGCATCTCTTCCCAGCTGAAGTGAAAAGGTCCGCAGGAGGTGCTGACTTTGTAGGCAGCTCCCAGTGGTTTGTCATCAAGCTCTTGTGTTTCTTTGTCATCCAGCTCTTGTGTTTCTGGTACTTTCCCGGGTGATCTTGAAGGTGGAGGGTTAGAGAAGTTGCCATGCATGTGAGTAAAATGCTTCATGTAACCCCTCTTGCAGGTGATGCCACAGTCACAATATCACACCGCTACACTCCCAAGGAGCAGCTGAAACAACACACGATCCGTGCTGACATCGTGGTAGCAGCAGCAGGTAAGACTGAACTGCCAGTGCAGGCGATGTGCGCAGAGGCAGTGCAGCTTGTGTGTTGTTTCTGGTGGGAATCTCTCCTTGCAGGAGATAGTCCTGTTGGTACGTGTCCCAAGGGCTCTGAAGCAGCTGTGGCAGCATAGGAGAATCTGACACCCTTTTAACTGCTGCAGGCAGGGGTGGGCTGTTTGAAACAGGCAGTTAATCCTGTGATAAAGCCTAGGACAGACTAATAGAACTATTTGTAGCTCTTGGAAATGCAAAATGACACCTGGCAGGAGGACTTGGTGTGCTAGCAAGCACCTGATAAGACCTAGAGAGCAGCTAACAAAGGCTGTTATACAGCCTGTGTTATAAGTACAGACGTTCTGTGCTTATGGGGAGAGAAAAATACTGAGACAGCATCTACTTACAGGAGATGTTGAAAGTGCTGAAGGACATTTGCAGTACCCTCTTCAGAGCACAAGAGGCCCCACATGTACGCGTGCTCTTCTCTGGGCAGTGCCCTTGGCGTGGGGATAGCTCATTAGCAGGAGAATTGAGCTGATTTGGGGTCCATGCCTGGCAACAGAAGCTTGGTGAGAGAGAAATGTGGGTTAGAATAGAAATTGGGCATAAGAAGACATAAGGTACAGGTAGGATTAGAAGTGGTGTCAGTGGTGAAGGCAGCACTGTGTAACCATAGACATTAAGATTTCAAATTGGAGAGCACTTTGGCTGCAGCTTCTTTGCCAGACCTCTTTCTGGAAGTGGATTCCAGTTCTTTTTATTCAGAGGTTATAAATAAATCACTGATTTCTGGGTCAGCTGAACATCCCAAGGAGTAGTTCTGGATTTGTCTGTGACAAACGCATTGGTGAGGCAGGAAAAAAGCCCAGGTGGCTCAAAACACACTGGGCTGTGCAGTGAGATGGGGGTGATGGGGGACAGGGAGCTGCTTAGCACCACTACGAGCTCATGGGTCTGTTCTGTTGCAGGTATTCCTAATCTGATCACAGCTGATATGATCAAAGAAGGAGCTGCAGTTATCGATGTGGGGATAACTAGAGTGCAGGATCCTATCACTGCCAAATCAAGGCTGGTTGGCGATGTGGATTTTGAAGGTAAAAAGGCTCTGACATCTCATACTTTGAGCATTAAACATCTAGCTGAGAAGTGGGGAGAAAGTCCTGGTTCATGCAGTGGAGCAGATGATAGCAATCCTGAAGCTCTCTTTTGCATTCAGTTTTATACGAGTACAAGGGAGCTTTCCTGGAATATGCCATAGGGACATATAGAGGAGACTGACTCTAAATCTGAGGCAGCTGGGGTGCTTTGCCTCTACTCCAGTTTATAACCCACACTCCTGCTTTTAAATTCTGCCCCCAGGCAAACCAAAAGCATGCAGAGCTTCCCTTTTGGCTTGCTGTTTCCTGGCCTTGCTCACCACTTAGCTGCAGCAGTGCCCAAGGAAGCCCCACGTGTTCATGTGCCCAGCAAAGTGTACTGGAACCTTCTGCAAGAAAGGGGGCAAACGCTCACTGTTACTTCATTGGAGCTCTTCTCAAGAGCATGCATCAGGCCTGAATCTGGTCTCATACTCAGAATGTGTTGCATAAATCTGGCTATTTAGACCTTGCTTTTTCCCCAGCGTGGGCTCTGATGTGAGCTTGGGGATGGTCAGAATGCGGTGTGCTCTGTGCTGCCCTGGCCAAAGGGGGCAAACATCTAAATTAAGAGACTAATATATATGTATTTTTTAACTAATAGTCATGAAGGAATTCAATAATATTAGGTTGGCTATGGTTGCATGCTGACCAGCTGGCTTGATAAGCCCTACTGCACTTGACTTGCGTGGTGAACTCTCTCTGTCCTTCCTGCAGGGGTGAAGAAGAAAGCCAGTTACATCACTCCTGTCCCTGGGGGAGTTGGGCCCATGACAGTTGCCATGCTGATGAAGAACACCATCATTGCTGCCAAAAAGCTGTTGAAACCCAAAGCACTGGAAGCCTTAACTGCTTAACACCGGACTCTCTTTTTAGCTCTGAAAACAACATTCCAAGATGACTCCTAGACAGGCCGATAGAAAATGCAATACTTTATTTATTGTACAGAGGTGATATTTACTATTCTGAGGTCATAGGTATTTATTTGAAGCTGAAGCATATGCGGATTAGCTGTAATAAGGCATATGCACCTACACTCCTGGCCTTCTAGCACAGCTGCTTTTTAAACCAGCACTTCTCTAGTGGAGCCAGCCTTGCAGACTGTGTTGTTCTGGCAGGGACTGAGCAGCAGGGGAGACCCTCTGGGTGTGCAGAGCTTGCTGCAGCGTTAGCAGGCCTGGGGGCAGTGGAGTGGATTGTGCTCCACAGTGCAAAAAGAATGGCCTTCGTGGTTCTGTTCTCACAGATGCTCAGTCAGCTCAGACTTTGCTCTGAAGCGTTTAACTCTGTGATGGGTGTTCAGTTGGAGTTGAGCTCTTCTGTAGAAGCAGCGACTGGAAAAAGCCGTGTTCTCAACCTGGCTGGGGCTCTGGGCAGTGGCAGAGCTGATGTACCATGTTCATCGTGTGCAGCTAAGCTTTTTTGTTTGTTCCTGTTTGTATGGTGACTTTTAAAAACTTTTTCTTCAACCAAAGAGCAATGGAGGACGGTTGGTGTGTCTGTATTGGGTACATGGGGAGCTTCCTGGACTGTAGCATGAAGGGAGGAAGGACTGAGTGGGGCTGACTCTGAATAAAGCAGGAATGAATGGGGGTAGAGGAATGCTGCTTGATTCCTGGAATCACTGCTCAGCAAGTTCTGTACTTCCCTGACAAGTTCCCACACTTGCACTGTGAGCTCCCTGTGCTCTCAGAGCAGGGATGGCTCAACCTTTCTCTGAGTTTGACCAAAATGCAACTGCGCTATGGCTCTGAACTGAGAAACAACAGCTGATAGTGGAAGAGCAAACAAAGAACTAATAATTTTTTCTTTACAGTTGCCCTTACCTGTGGTCACGTATCCCTGGGAAGACTGATCCCACCTTTCTGGGTGCAGGCAAGCTTTGCTGCAGAGCTGAAGGTCTGTTGCTGTGCAAGAGCTGCAGCCATCTGCAAAGTCACCTTTAACTGCTCTTCCTGGAGGGGAGAATGCTTATACAGGTGCTGACCAGGGAGCACCTGGAAAGGGAAGCTGAGGTTCAAGGGGCTGAGGCTGCACCAGAAACACAGTGAGAGCTGAGACTAATTTAAGTGAGATTTATTGGATTGTATCACTGGTAAATACAAAATGGCTAAAAGTAGTACTGTAACGGGGCTGGCAAATCTGTGACGCTCCAGTATTTCATATACAAAAAGTATAAACCATGTGTGAGACTTGCAAAATGGATAAATCGAAACAAGCTGTGTTCTAGAAGGATCTGAGCTGAGGCTTCAGCTGCGACCTATGGAACAGCCCCCAGAGTCCATGAAGCCTTTCCAGGGCTGCTGTGCAGTAGAGCTGACATAGTGGATAAAGCAAATTAACCACGGTGCAGTGATTACAAGCAGAAACCTACCTGTGCCATGCTTCAGCTACCACGCATGAGATTGGTACAAAATACTAAAAAATAGACACGGTGCACCCAAGCTGCAATAGCTCTTAATGTTAACGTCAAGCTAAAGTGGTGACCAGAGTAATGCTGTCTTATTAAGCTCACCATGGTTCCATAGGTGTTCTTGGACCAGAAAAACGCTGCTATAAACATGAAATTGCATTCAAGTCCTTCTTGTTTGACTTGACTATTTACAAAGAACTGGGCTGTCCCACGTGGAGGTTCAGACCAGGTGCAATATTTAGTCAGTGTCCCAGGAACTGCTGGCTGACAAGAGCACAGAGCTCCTATAAATACCAGGTAGGCTGTTTCTGCCTGGGGGAAGAGAGAGGGCTTTTTACAGCCTTAAAATAAAGGCAGAAGAAGCCCCATCCTGGGGTTCCGTGGGGGGGTGTTTGCTGTTAAACCATGTGTGTGTAATGGGGGTGGAGGAGCTTGAGGAGTGCAGACTCCCTTGTCCAGGAGCTGGGAGGCTCCTTGGTGTGTATGGGGCAAGGAGAAGGTGCAGGAAGGGCCTGGCTGGGTGCAGCAACGGCTCCTGCCCCGTTACTGGATTTTGGGACCCAGCACTGCGCCTTGCTGGGGCAGTGACACGGGGTCAGGCATGGCCGTGCTCAGCTCTGCTGCCCAGTTCCTTATGGAAAGCATTCCCAGTTCTCTGCAGCAGTGATCAAGCTCTGTGCTCCCACAACACACCCAACCTCAGGCACTGCAGCTCCTGAGCTTTCCCTCCTCCTGCCAGTCCTCAGCCTCCAATGCATCCTCATCCCCTGCCTCTGTGCTGAGCCCCCCTGGGCAGGAGAACCCCTCCCCTACAGCAGGACCCTGATGGGATGGCTGGGACGGTCCCCAGCACCACCCCCAGCTGCCTTTGGCTTCTCCAGCCCAGCTGTGGTTCAGAGGCCAAAAATGCTCATTTCCACATTTTGAGCCCCGTTTTGCCATCAGCGCCGGTGCCTTCGCCCAACAGAAAGGGAGGAAATGGGACAGCGGTAAGAACTACAGGAGCAGCAGCCTCGGGGGCCAGCGCTCTCCTCAGTCTCATGTAGAAAAATATGTCCAATTTGCTTTATATATATATATGAATATATAAATATCTATATATATATATAAATTAGAGGAAGCACTGCAGGGAACTATAGCGTGGTCTCACTGCCCATGTCCCGCGGTGCCTTTTCGGTGTCGGTGTCCTCATAGTCTGACTCCATCTCTATCTTCACCTGGGGCACAGCACAGATGGGGCTTCGGGAGTAATTAAATGCAGGAGATGATGGGCATGAAATCTTCAGGTGGAGTGTAATGCTGCAGAGGAGGAGGAGGGGGACATGGAGGTGAGCGCGGCGCCCACCTGCTCCCCAAATAGCCCAGAACTCCCCCATGGAAGGGCTCCGGATATTGCTACTACTGGGAAAAAATAGTTGAAGAGTCATAAAGGATGCTGTGAAAATATACTTCAGCATTTCAGAATTGCCCAAAGACTGATGGGAACTGGCTCAAGGTAGTGGCAAAAGTGATGCTCAGTGGGAAGCATTGGCTGCTGGGCCTGGAAATGTTTCATGGTGTGGATGGGGGACCTCTCAGAATGGGGTGACATGAGGGTGAGCTTTGGAGCTGTGGGTGCTGCTCACCTGCGATCCATGTCAGAACCATTCGGAGAGGAGTCAGAACGCAGAGCTCCAGGTGGGGGACCTCTTTCCTGGGAAGGACACGGAGGTGAAACACTTCCAGCTGAGAAAGGAGGCCCCGTAGAAACCCACTGTCCCAACTGAGCCCAGCAGTCTGCCAGCTAGCTTTTGGAACGAGGTGAGGCCAAATTGCACTCATTTGCCCTTTCAAACCCAAAGACCTTCTCCCCAAACTGCAGCCCTGGGGGTTTCAGTAGGACCCTTCCCCTCCCCATGTCTGTGCTGTCTCAACCTTCCCCCCCGCCCCCTCAGCTGCACACCTCCTCATCACTGCTGCTGTCCCCTTTGTTGCCCTTTTTCTTCTTCTTCTTGTCATCTTCCTTCTTCTTCTCCTTCTCAGGGATGATGTTGTCAATCCAGGCCAGGTCATGCTGGGAGAAGACAAAGTCCAGCAGTCGCCGCACCAGGATCAGGGCTAAAATCTGAGAGGGAGGGATGGGAGAGTGAGGACTGGGGGCCACCACTTGCCGAGATTTGCTTCAACCCCAGCATCTTGCAGGCAAGGCTGCAATAAGGGCGATGCCCATGGGAAATCAGAAAGTCAGTGTGATTTTTTTTTGCAATAGAAAACGAGCAAGAACCGCCTGGGGAACGCTGCAGTGCTGAGCCTCACCATGACAGGGAAAATGATGGCAGCCACGGTGGATTTGAGGATCCAGAGCACGGCCAGGCAGATGATCTGCACCAGCGTGAAGAGGTGGATGCGGCGCAGCGGAACGTGCCGCAGGAAGACGTAGTCGGGCTGGTGCTTGGCTGGCATGAGGAAGAGCTTGCAGCGGTCCCAGAACTGGAGTGGGATGAAGACTGATGTGAGCCATCAACCCCACTGCCCCCATGCAGGCTCCCAGTTGCCCGGAGAAATCCTCTTTCTGTGCCACAAATGGGGCAGCTGGGGCTCTGTGATGTTTCACAGAGGGGTTTGGATATTTGCTGCCCCACGTGGCTGGAAATGCTGGGGATGGAAAAGTTGTGGGGTCCAAAATCCTCATCTTTGAGGAGGTGTAGAGAGGAAGGAGTTGGACTCTGCTCCCAAGTAACAGCATTAGGAAGAGAGGTGATGGCCTTAAGTTGTACCAGGGGAGGTTCAGGTTGGATATGAGGACAAATTTATTCTCCAAAAGACTGGTTGGGCGCTGGCACAGCTGCCCAGTGTGGTGGTGGAGTCACCATCCTTGGAGGTGTTCCAGAACCGTGGAGATGTGGCAGTGAAGGATGTGGTCAGTGGGGATGCTGGGATGGGTTGGGGATCTTCCAACCACAACGATACTGCGATTCTCTGATTTCTGATCAAGTGCGGGGCCCTTTTGTGGCAGGGTACACAAAAGGAGAGGAGGAGTGCTCACCTGGATGCCGTTCAGCGATGCGACGCCCATGTACAGAAAGACACCGTACAGCACTGGCATGGGGATGTACTGGGGACATGGAAAAACACGGCCCTTACCCCAAGGAAGGCAGCAGCTCACTCCTGGGGAGGGGGACAAATGCTGGGGGACGAACAGGGGGAAAAAAATCCACCCCAACCACCTGCAAAGCAGGGATGAGGCAGTGGGGGATGTTTTACCTTCAGAATCGGGGCCAGGAAGACAGAAATCCCTGTGAGCACGAAGACAATGATGCCCGTCACCCTCTGCTCCCTGGGGTGGGGAAAGAGGGGGGAGATGCTGTGCCGATGGGTTCCCACAACACTGGGGCAGAGCACGGCTGAGCCCCCCTCACCTGACCCCCAGGAACTGGGGCTGCTCCCCAGGAGCGCTGGTCTCTGTCTCCATCTTCAAGCTGTCGATGTGGGCGATGGAGATGACGGTGGCTGCCACGTACCAGGGCAGCCCCATGAAGGAGCACACTGCCATGAGGATGCCCACCCAGAAGAGGTCCAGGTGGTAGCCTGCTGCTTTCTGCAACACAGTGCAGGGGTCACAGGGGGGTGTGGGGAGGTAGCTCTGCACACCACAGGGCCCAGCAAGGCAGAGATTTCCCCTGGCAGCACTCTGCAGCCCATGAAGTGCCCTGCATTACCCCTGGATTGGGCACCCTTCTTTGGACCGGAGCTCTTTCACATCTTTATCAGTGACACTGACAGCGGAATTGAGAGCACCCTCAACAGGTTTGGAGATGACACTGATCTGAGTGGGTGCAGCTGGCACAATAAAAGGAAGGAATGGCATCCTGGTGGACCTGGTTGGGCTTGAGAAGTTGGCCCATGGGAACTTAATGAAGTTCAGTACGGCCAAGCGCAAGAGGGGAGATTTAGATTAGATGCCGGGGAAGTTTTTCACTAAGAGGACATTGAGGCCATGGCACTGCTGCCCAGAGTGGTGATGACCCATTTCATGTTGTACAGGGCTGTGGGCAGCCTGATCTGGTGCCTGATTTAGTGGTTGGGAACCTTGCACTAGGCAGGAGGGTCGGAACCAAATGATCTTTGAGGTCCCTTCCAACCAAAGACATCCTATTGCTCAATGAGCCTGGACAGGGCTCTGAGCACTGATGGATCTGTTCACTGCAGGAGAGTTGGACCAGATGACCCTCAAGGGGTTCCTTCCAACCCAAATTCCATGACTCTACGATCCCATGTGAGGATGCATCCCGACTCACCCGCAGCTTGTGCTCCTTCCTGTTGACGATGACGGCTGTGATCTGCTGGTCCATGAAGATGAGGATGGTGACGAGCAGGGCAGGCAGCGCGCTGGCCAGGTACACCCACCATGGGTTCTTCCCAAAGGGAAAGACAAACCACCCTCGGTCCACACGCGTGGGCTGGAGGGAGAGAGCAGTTTGCATGCCACAGCCGAGAAGAATCCTAGGCTTGGAAATTTTGGCAAGCCCCACATCACCTCACACCCCATTCCTTATAAGCATCACTTTATCCCATGTTCATCCACCCCTAAAGACAAGTGCTGCAGCCCCAAATACTCCCCAGATGCTCATCTGGACCGAGCTGCCCTCGCACAGGGGAGGAGCCCCACACCACTGATGGGGAAGAGATGTTTTCAGCAACACTTCCAGAAAGAGATTTATTGCTTTTTACCTTAAAGTCAGTAGGCACTTGGAGCTTTGGGGTGTTCAGTCCGAAAAGCACATCCAGCCCCACAAACATTAGTATGGACATAAAGATAGAGAAATCGCTAATGAGCTTACGGAGCTGCCGGAGTGAGAGGTGGGAAGAACAGAGAGAGGGGAAAGGAAAGAAAAAGAAGGAAGAGAAGTCACAGAATTAGAATATTCCCCCCGAAACGCCAAGCAGTATTTCAGAAGGCACTCAGACACCACGTTTTTTGCCCCAAAAAGAAGGGGACCACCATGTCCCCCCCAAAAGCACTGAGAAGCTGAAGAGAGAGCAGTGGAGAGGAACAGACCACAGCAGTGCGGCCAAACCTTGATGATACTGGGGATGTGCAGCTTCGGGGTATCCAGGCCGAAACAGGCATCCACACCACAAAACAGCAGGATGGAGAAGACATTGGAAAAGTCAGCAATGAAGGCCCTAACCTGGAGGCAGATGGGAAATGGGGGCAGAAAGGGCAATTAATGGGATGGAGGAATTTGCTCCCGTGTCTGATGCTTCCCCCTGGCATTCCAGCTCTGCACATGGATGGGCATAACTCACAAAAAGCATTTTTCCCCCTTTTGCATCGCATGGCATTGGGATATCCAGCACACAAGAGCCCAAGCAGCATCTGAAAGCTTGGAGAGGATTGTCCTTATTGATACCAACATCTCCTTTTCTTGTAAAAGAGAAACACGGATTTATTTTCTCACCCAGCAAGGAGACCAGCAGCTCCCGTTTTTCCTACCTTTGGGAAAGATTGGGGCAAAATCCTGCAGATGTTGGTGCTGTTCTTACCTTGGTGGGGAAATAGCGGCTGAATTTGAACTTCTTCAAGGTGAGAGTCATGGAGTAGGTCCCAAAGAAGAGGATGAAGGACATGAGGGCCAGGTCGGGCACGAATTTACAGGATTTCCCCACTAAGCTGCCGCCGTACTTGAGACACTCCTTCTTACTCAGCTGAGTCCAATCCAGAGCTGTGAGGTTAATAGCATTGTACTGGGGAGAACCCCCCCCAAAAAAAAGAAAAATCAAAATTAGCGTTAAGCAATGGTAGTGTACAAGGAAGGGGAATTTCCAATGGGAGCTGCTCCAACCCCGGAACTGTGGGAAGACCCCAGAGACGCCATTAATTTGGGCTCAAAGGTGGGGATTTGGTGCTGCCGAGTCAAACTGTGAGCCCAAACCGTTGCAAAGCATTCCCCCAAACCTCAACCCAGGTGCCAGCCCTCAGTGCAGCCATGGCAGACCTCCCCCCACGGGAGCACACAACCCCGCTTACCAGAGACACGTTAGTGGTGTTTGGTGCTACTGGAACTGAAGCATCGAACAGTGTCATGTTGGCTGCAGGAAAGAAGTTTGTTATTAAGGTTCTTGGCTAACAGAGAGGTTCCTGCATTAAAAATTGGCCAGGCTCCATGAAGAGAAGCATGGCTCAGCCTAGACAGGGGGATGTAATAGCAAACGTGGGGCCAAGCACGTCCTCTGAAGCCCCGTGCAGCGGTCAAACACCCAAGGGCTGACCAAGGTTTGGGGAGCACACCCTGTTTCTAACCCCACAGTAACTTCTCCCTGATTAATCCCATGCACTCCCCCTGGAGCCACCCAGGTCAGAGGTGCAATCCAAAGGGTGGAAGGGGGGAGAATAAAGACCAAGAAAGCAGCCTGTCCATTTTGGAGAGGTGGAACCCAGTAACGCCCAATTTGTTGGCATAGCTTGGCATTGGCGTTATTTTATGTATGTATATATATATATATATATTATTTTTTTTAGAGAGGTGTTTTTGTGGCTCACTGCAAAGCAATCAGTAAAAGGCAACCTGCTGGGCTCTCCTCTCTAACCATGGCACCTTCTCCTCCAGCACAGAGAGGTTCTGCTCTTCAGGCAACGCAGCTCCGCGGTGTCGGGAGCTCCTCGTGCTGCATTACATGGGGTCTGGGGTTGATCTCCCCCCCAGTCCCTGGGGTCCATCCTCTTCCTGTGGTCAGGTGGGAGTTTGGCTGCTCCACCTTGCTGCAGCCTTCCCGGGTGCAGAGAATTAATGAAGGAGAAGCAATTGCTGGGTTAGAAGCAGAGATGCTGGGGGCTGCTGGAACCAGGCTCCAGGAAGCAGTGCTGGCAAACCCAGCCCTGTTTACAGCATTAAAACATTTGTTGTTGTTATCATTATTATTTCCCTCCATAACCTTTTGCTTTTCCAGAAATCAGATTTTTTTTCTTTTTTTTATTACTTCTACAACCCAAAGAATGGCATAGCATTGGCAGTATGGAACATGGGAACCTGTAAAGGCTCTACATAAACCCTTCTATTGGAGCAGAGAGAAGAGTAAAATACATGAAAAAAAATAACAACAAAAGCCCCATTGGAGGCGGTACGAGTATCAAATATTAAAAGAGCTTTAATATTTAGAAGGTGATACTCACTTGAGATTGAAATCAGCCCAAATTGATGTGTGCAGCAGAGACAAATATGGTACAAATCAGTTATAATAATAAAAAATCAGAACTACTTAAAAAAAAAAAAAAAAAAAAAAAAAAAGAATAATAATAAAAAAAAAATAGAGTATGGAGGGGAGAATAAACACAACTTCTCAACATCTAGATGCATGGAAAATCCATCATTGCTTTGGTGCCCAGGGCAGCAAAGGTGAGGAAGAGGGGCCGGATTGCTCAGAGGTTGGAGGTTTGGGGCTGTGGATGGCTCTTGGTGCCAACAGGGGAGCTTGCTCTGGGCAGAGGCTGGGGTGGGGGCTCTGGAAGGGAGAGAACTCTCTGAGGCTGTGATGTTTCAGCCCTGGGGGTTGCACTTGGGCTAAGCTGGCCAACACTGGGGGAGTCTGGCTTCCAAAAGGACAAGCGCCATCGCTGGGAGCTTCCATCCAAAACCTGATGGGATCGAGTCGTTCAGTGCACGGTGAGTAAATGGGAACTGAGTCAAAAGAACAACAACCACAAAACCCCATCAAACAAGGGGTTGAATGCTATTTCCATCATGGCATGTCAGATCTCTTCTTGAAGCGATGGACGCATTGGGGCAGGTTATATGGCAGGTGTTGGAAGCTTTTGTTTCTTTGCTGTCACCCCTCTTTCTCTCCTCCACCTGCAGCTGATATGCCCCACAGATCGTTTGCTTTTCTACTTTTTAAATAAATTTGGCCCATTTGAGAGAAGTGGTCACTGGCATTAGCTCCACACTGGGACCGTCACTGGGAGCGTTTGAGCTGCACGATGTGGATTTGGGATCATTGCACATCTATCCAGGAGCAAATAGAGGTATTGGTGGCAAAAGGCAGAGTGAATTATAGTCCTCTTCACCATCAGAGAAAGCTATGTCTGGAAAATGACTTTGCTTCACTTCCCCCAAAGAACAGCTTGTTTTGATAAGAAATTGCAGCTTCTTCCTCTTAGTAGAAACTGGATCAAAACCAGAGGAGATGCCAAAAGACTGCCTGCTCAGAGCCTTGTGGCCTCTTTTTTTAGAAGAGGAGTAAGAAAAAAGGAAAGCAAACGAACAAACAAAAAGAAAAAAAGTCCAAGAGTTTTTCCAAACCCATTGGGATATCCTTACGGCATTCCAGAAACAGGAAAGGACTCAGTGTGTTTTCTGGAAAGAAGTTTCCATTGGCAGCAGGGTGGAATCAGTGATCCAAGGAAAATGAATAAATAAATAAAAATCTTTCTTTCCATCTTTTTATCCATCCAGGTCCAGCTGCTCTGGGCTCTCCAACACATCCCAGCAAGCACTGACATGCTTGGCCATGGGATAGGCTCCATTTCCATCACCTTGCCCCAAATCACCCCCGATGGAGGATGATGAGGTCTCTCTGCCCCAGTCTCACTGGTAGCTCCTTGAATGTCGTTGGCTGATGATCCAGTTGGGATCTACCTACAGCGGGACCCCCTGCGGGCACCCACCTCCCCTCACCATCCCCATCCAACGCTGAGAAAGGTTTGTACTCACCTGGGTCAGGAGCAACGCACTCGCATTTGTACATGGTCACATAGTCTGGCTTGAAGTCCGAATTGATGGGGTAGTACTTAAAGGCCCCTATCATCTTCTTGATGGCATCGTAGATGAAGATGAAGCTGATGAGGGTGGAGAAGCCTTCCTCTGTGAAGCGGGTGATGTACTTTATAATGAAGCTGGCGTCAGTGGCCACCAGGATAAGGCACTGTAGGGCAGAGTGCAGGCCGATCCAGAGGCGGAACTCCATGTAGTCGATGCCGTTACCTCTGAAGGCAGGCAGAAAATGAGAGCAGCTCAGGAACACGTTGGGTTGGGGGTCAGACCCCATCCCGGTAACGGAGTTCCCAATCCCTCTGGCATCACTCAGCACCTACTTGCTGAAGTCAAAGAGCAGCTTCTCAAAGATGAGGATGGGGCCGGTGCTGCTGAGGATGATGAGCGGCTGTCCAGCAAAGAGGCAAAACATGGAACCTGCCATTGCTGTGCCAAGGAAGCTCTCCATGACACCCTGGGAACAGATTACACCCAGGGTTATGTGGGGCAGTGCCAGGTTACATCCCCAGGGATACCCCAGGTAGAGATGGGAATTACGGACTCCTATTTGGACTGACATAGGGTGGCCTGGGATCATGTTCCCTTGCTCTTGGTATTGTCGCTGATATGGGCTTTCCCATCCTCCAAGTATCTGGGGACAGCCTCCCCAGAGGAGGTTTAGCTTGGATATCAGGAAGAGCTTTACAGAAAGGGTTGTTAAGCACTGGAATGGGCTCCCCAGGGAGGTGGTTGTGCCTCCATCCCTGAATGTGCTTAAAAATCATCTGGATGTGGTGCTCAGGGACATGATTTAGTGGTGGGTTGTTGGAATGTGGTTGGCCTTGATGATCTTTAAGGTCTTTCCCAACCTGAGCAATTCTATGATTCTATTCTATGACTTGGGGTGGAATTTCCATTGGAATGAATTTCCACCCCTAGCATCAAAGATTGGCACGGCTCCCGCTCCATTCCATCTCATCCCCATTTGCCTTTGCTAAGCCAAAGTGACCCCTGCCCTTGGACCCCACCTGGTAGTTGTCTGTTGCATCTCCAAGCAAACCCCCAAATGTGATGGCATTGGTGATGCAGCCCAGGTAGATGAAGAGGATGGCAGAAATGGACTGGATATGAAAGCCTTCATAGAAGTCACTTGGGAACCAGGGAAGCTTCCTCTTGATATCCAAATAGAGGCCACCACAGAACCTGTGGAAATAAAACCAAGGATGAGATCCAAAATGCGTACAGCACTGTACAAAATTCCCTTTAGGAATTCACCCCTCTGCACCCTTGGAAGCCACAGGGTGAGCAGCAGGAGACGCTGATGGGTGACAGCACCCTCTGGGGTTTTTGGGTGGCCAGGTGATGCTCACCTCCCAGTCCACGCGAGCTCTTCCCCAATTTCATGCACTTCGGGCATCTCCCCATCATCACTGCCTCCTCCACCGCTCCCAGCACCTGCCCCTCCAGCTGTGCCATTCATTTGCCCCACTTCATTCAATGAGAAAACTGATTTCCTGTGGGAATTATTATTACTGCAGAGGTTACACACAGGGATGAGGACAAGCATCTCCAAAACGAGAGAGATGGGGACAACCACAGGGCTGGGGCCAACCCCACGGCTCCCACTCACCTCTTCTCAGCTGAGGGCACTTTTTTGGGTGGCTCGATCCTAATGTTGGGGTCCCACTCGCCAGGTGGCAGGACAATGACTTCATCCAGAAATTCATCTATGCCAGCAATCAGGTCTTCTCTATCTCGGGCTTTGTAAGCAACGTCACTGAAGAGCTAAGGGTCAAGAGAGCTGTCAGTTTGGGGACAGAGCCCATATGTCCCCCCCCACGTCGTTATGGATGTTTAAAGTTTGTTCATTTGAGCAATAGGATGCAAACTGCATTTTTCTCTTAGCTCTGAGCAAGAGGGCTCCCAGCAGGGCCAGGTTTGGCATTTACTCACATCATCCACCATGAGGGTCGCGATGGCTCTGCCGATCTCATTGTAGGATTTGGCTTTTCCTGCAGGGCCCAGGAGAATAAAGAGGAATCTGGGAAGGGAGTGGCATCGTGTTGGCATCCTCACACTGCCAAATCCCCTGTTGTGAGACCAGCCAGTGCTTCAGAACCAGGCTCACCTGGTGGGGACGGGCACCTCCGTCACCCCTCCCAGCATGGTTGCCTGGAGCAGCCGCACGAACGCTACGAAGGGCTTCTCAAGGAATTCCACTTCTCCCACCAACACGTTGGAGGCCTCCGCATCCTTGGGGATCTTCTTGATGAACTTGTTTTTCAGCTGTTGGGGAAGATGAGGTAGGGAAGCGAGCGGTTGCTAAAATCCAACCTGTCCTCCTCTCCTGTACCTTGACTACAAACACTAAAGCTGCAGCACCAGGTTGGGCTGCAGGCTTCAACCTCAGCTCTCTGATGCTCCTGGGATTCCCAAGGGATGCGAGGGCCATTTCCACAAATAAAACAGGGAGAATTCGTAAAGCTGAATCTGTGAATTTCAACAGGAGCTCCAAGCCCAAGATAAACTTGGGAGCACGCGCTCCAGGCTGCTTAATGCAAACGTGCCACTCCGTGTTTTGGAAAAGGTGCTTTGCTGTGCTGGGGTCTAAGCAAGGAAAGTCCACGGCAATCCCCAGACTGACTGCATAAAATCTAAGCCAAAAATACTGATTCTGTGGGAAGCCTGCAGGCGTCTCTCTAAGTCTGCTTGCAGCCCCGTAGCCCCAGGCTCCCCTGGAAGGCTGAGCCACCACTTGCTGCTTTGCACAGGTGGATTGAGCTCCGTCTTTGTAGCTCGTTTGCCCACATTCCATCCTCAGAGCAGGAATGGATAATGCAAGCAGGAAACCTCCACCATGGATTTTTTTCCCTGGGTCTCTTCTCCCCTGCAGCTCTTTCATTATTAGCCCAAAATGGTTCAATACAAACCGAGGCAGGGTGTTATTATAATCTATATGCCAGCATGAGGGGAGGCATGTGAGTCGGGCAGCAAGCTCTCCCTTTCTAATCCTTTAAACCCGAATGGAAAAAAAAAAAAAAAAAGGAAAAAAAAAAAGAAAAAGAAAAGAAAAATAATAATAAACCAATTCCTCCAATGCAGCTTGGAACAAGCAAGAGCAGGAGTTAACAGTGGCCACTAAGCTTCATGTAACATTGAACAAGTCCCTTTGTAGCAGGCCTACAGAGTGATTATGTCCAGCACTCTTGGTACTACATGCTTTGCATATTTTGGAATTAACTCTCTGCATCCCACCACTGGAGGCTGGTATTTGGGGTCCCTTGCAGGGCAATTTGCTTGCTTCGTTGCAGCTGTAATATAGGAAGGTGCACTGCAAAAACTTCTTTCTGTGAGCTGTCTCTCATGCACCATGGCTTCCTCATCCTGCTGCTCCCTCCTCATGCCCAGTGCCTGGGTTTGGGGACGTGCCACGTGCTGGAAGGTAGCGAGCAAGAGAAGCAGGCAGAGGGGACACAATCCCTTTTGGCAGACGATGACATATTTCAAAGCCAGCACTAAAGGGTGAGGTCAAGCTTGGTGGTGTTACCATGGCATGAAGAGCCCCAAAGCGTTATGCTCAGGCAACCCAGGAAAATGGGGATTTCCATCCATTGCATCACATCAGATAAGAGCATTGAGGATGTCCCTTGGGGCAAGGCAACCACTTACACCACACTGTACCCTGCAAATCCCTGCCAGACTCTTCCATCCCCACTCTCTGGGCTGGCTAATTAGCTCACAGCTGACAGATTTTGTACTCAACCTGCACAGTTTTAGCCCTTGTGCCATGTTTCCCCCAGTCAGCATTGCTTCTGGCTCCAGCAGCTGTACTTCAAATATATCCACCAGATGCCTCAGGTCAAATACACAAAACACTGAAAGCTGTAGGAAAACATCAAATGTATTTCCCAGGACTGAATTGCAAGCTCCATCCTGTAAGCCATATGTTGGCAGGATGGCACAGGAAGCATGCCTAATTACTGCACTGCTCTTGCAGACAACAGATTTTAAATACAGCTTTAAACCTCTCTGGGCTGTATTCTTGTTTGCAGCCCCTAGTACTGGTTGGGATTTACCACGAGCAAGCTGCCTGCACCCAGCAGGCACTGTTTTGGATGTGTTCACACATGCACTGTCAAACCCATTTCCTTTCCTATGTTTTCACCACACGTAGAATCATTAAGGCAGTGAAAGACCACTGAGATCCCCAAGCCCAACCCATCCCACCATGCACGCTGACCACGTCCTTCAGTGCCACATTTACCCTTTTCTTGAACACCTCCAGGGATGGTGACCACAACACATCTCCAGGCATCTGCCAGTGCCTCAACACCCTTCTTGAGAATAAACTTTTCTTAATATCCAACCCCATCAAGTCGACCATCCCCCTACCTCCACAATTCCACCACTAAACCACATCTCTAAGTGCCACATCTGCACATCTCCTACGTATCTCCAGGGATGGCGACTCCACCACTTCCCTGGTGTGTGTTCCAACACCCAGTCACTCTTTCCATAAAGAAACACTTGATAGGTCAGGTTGATGACTGGACTTGATGAACTTGAAGGTCTTTTTCAAAGTAAAGGATTTTGTAATCCTATGGTTGTTTCTGGGACAGCTTCCCCATGAATGAACAAGGATCAATACGTATTCGTTTCACTAATTAGTAATTTGTGTGGTTATTGACTGCACAATGCTCACATGGACTTTAACTCTCACGGAGTCCCCACACATCACAGCTCGTTTGCAAGCAGGCCCACAGCAGCCAGTTGTGTTAGAGATGCTCCTCATTACATCACACAAAAATTTGGGCATTATACCTGGTCGGTGCTCGGTGTGTCTGAGATATCATTCATGCTTCGGCTTTGAACGTGGCCTGGAGACAAGAAAGAAGCAGGGTGAGAAAAACTCCATACGTTGTGCAGCTGAATTTCAGCCCCACTTGGAAGAACAAAACGGGGCAGGAGGACTTTGGTTGAGGAGCTACGAGATGTGGTTTAGTGGCTTGAGGAAGCAAGGCTAATGGGAGGACAGTTGGACTGGATGATCTTGTAGATCCTTTTCAACCTTGTGATTCTGTGATGCCGTGACTTCAGTGAGAACAGATCATTATTTAGCACAGCCAGGCTTGCACAAAGATAAAAGCTCAATAACAACAGCAGCTTTGCTAACACCAGCCATCCTACAGCTGCACAACGCATTGGTGGCCAAAGAGGGGTGTATGGCAGGACTCTATCTCACATTGCAGATCAGTTTTGTTCCCCCCCCTCCCCTCCCTGCTCCTTTTTCGGATGGTTTCAGCTCCCTGCTGCCCACCCCAGCTTACGCAGGCGGCCGTAGCTCGCGCTCTGCCGCATCCGAAGGTCCTCCGTGGAGCGATGGAAGGCAGCACCTGCAGCTGGGCTGCGGACGGGGCTGCGACCTGGGAAAAGAAAGGATAGAGAAGAAGGGGGAACCACAGGGAGGGGGCAGGAGGTTCGTCATCGGCCTCCTGGTGCTGGGGTGGCCTTTATGGCACCGCTACACCCGCAGTTTGCTTTTGCCTCTGAACTCATCTGCAATTTATTCCACCCATAGTAGTTTTTCCATTAGCGAGAAATTGACTTTGCTGCTTTAAGCCTCGCGTGCTCTCCGTGCAAAGAGCCTGCACCCCCCCCAGAGCCTGGGCAAGGCTCTCTTTGAGGCCATCGCTGGGTTCAGATGGCAGTTGCTGTTCCCAAAGAACCAGTGCTTCACATTTTGATTTTGAAGCCCGCAATTCTACATAGCTCACTCCAAAAGTAATGCCTCCTATTTATTTCCATGAAAACTGACACAAAGAGCACAGTAACACTCTCTGATGGAGCAGATTCTCAGCTACAAATCATGGTTTTCCAACAAAATCACCACCGTGAGCTGTGGATTTTCACCAGCGATGAACAAGAGCTTGCATGCCACCCTTGTAAAAACCTGCACCAGCAGAGGTGCTCCACTGTTGCACAGCTGCTATGACAGCATTACTGCTAGCAAAATATTGCCCCATGCAGTCCTACTTTTACTGTGCTCACATTCGGTTTGTTCTTTGTAAACATTCATAAGTGTTGGCAAATGTCAATGGGGGCCATTTTTTCCACATGGAGGAATTCAGTTCCAGCCCTTTGCTTCATCTGTACTTCCATGCCAGGAGTTCCATTCTGCCCAGCTACCCCTCTGCTGCCATCTGTCACATGGCAACAACATGTAGTGGGATATTGGTGCAAAGGGTCAACCTCCACTGCCATCCTGCCAACATCTGCTTCTGGCACTGTGGGCCAACGTAATAAAAAGTTCCCAAAGAGTGTTTTCCTTGGGGAAAACCTTCTGCTCCAGGTTTGAAGGGCTGCACTGCTTCTCTCTGAAACACCAGCTGCAACCACAGCAACCGTCCTCTTTTTTCTATACAACCCAACACCAACGCAACTGGAAATAAGGATGGAACCTGGTACGTCCTGTTTTTCTGTGTGCCAGCAGTATTTATTCTGGTATTGAAGATTTCCTGTTGGCACAAGAGACGTGAGGACACACCTGTCCCTGCCATCAACCACCTTTGTAGCTCCTCCTTGCTACTCCTTGTTGTTCCTCCTTGCAAAGTCAAAGCAATGCCATCATCTTAGCAAAACACAAGAAATGAATGAAAGAAACCCCTCTTCTCCATATCTACAGGGAGTAACTACAAAATTTCCAAATTGTGCTCTGTTTTGAGAGCTTCTGGACAAATATTAGCTCCAATATCTAGTCCTGTGACGTGGATGATGGGTGCTGTAAAACCTCGGGATGCCCATGGGGTGGATATATTGCTCACTGACAGCCTCTTCCACGTGCACTTTGGGTTCTGCTGTTTGTGTCTGCCCAGAGAGCAGCTGCAGCCTGGCAAATCCTGGGCTCCACCAAATGAGCTCCATTTAAATCTAAGTAAATAATCTAGCGTGAAAACAAACAAATCCCCTTTTATAAGGGCTCAGAAATAGGCAGGTTCAGTGACGGAGCAGACTGGATTTGTCTGTAGGCTGCTTGCCCCTTGGCCAAGTGACCACCAATGCTTCTGTCCACCTCAGCAGACACTTCTCTGGCTTTTAGCTTCCATGACCTGCCACGTTCAGTGAGTGGCAAAACTTCTGGGGTCTTTCCTGCTGCCGTAAACAGTTTTATGCCACAGATGGTTGGCGTTTCTGCTTCGTCTCCTGAGATCTGCTTCCCCCAGGGACTGCTAAGTGAAGATTGAAGGATGCAATTGGGATGCAACAGGGATGCCAACCCTACTAGATGGTTCGATTAGTCTTTCGCCCCTATAGCACTCACTTGTGTTGGAGGACACCGACTTGCCAATGTCGGCCAAGGAGCGGTGGATTGGCTTCTTGGTCTGGTGGCGGTGCTTCCTGAGGAGCACGTAGCTGATCTTTTCCCTCAGCTCAGGTTTGAGCAGACCATCCTCTATCTGCTTCTCAATGACATCGTCTGAAAGCATCAAACGAGGGAGAGTCACCCCACTGCAAAACCTTCTCCCCCTTCCCAGAAACCTAAAAAGCCATCGACTCTTACTGGACCGATCTGATGGCTTTCAACTGCCATCTTCACTTCCCTTGGTGTGAGTCGCTGCTACCTGCAGACTCATACCTATGATTTGGGGCAAAGAGTAACCATCGAGATCCAGCAGCACCGTTCCTGTCTGCAGGCACGTCCGCAGCTCAAACAGGCTGTGCAAAGACAGCGTGGACACGTGGGGTTTGCTCCACCTTTCCCCGCCTTCCTCCACCTTTTCTTCAAACTTTATCCACCTGAAACGACAGCAGCAGAGCTGGGAATGGGCCTGGAGTGGAGCTGCTGTGCGAGGGGAAGAAGTGAACTGCATTTCTTCAGGAAGTTTACAAACCTGAGTTAATTCATCACCTCCTCCTGCAAAGGGTTTGCTCGCTGTTCAGGGTGAGAACAGAGAAATGAAGCCACCTCATTCTCATTGCTTGTGCAGTTGCAGAGTGGAGCAAAACCAACTTGTCTCCACCACGCAGCCCTGCAGCTGACAAACTCCTGGTACTGATGTGGGAGGTTTTCCCACAGAGCTGACCTTGCCTTAGCCAGGCTCTGCACTTACACAGAGTGGCAGAACTTCATCTCTATGCATGCAGGGATGCATAAACCCACAGTGTTGCATCTTTTTAACATCTTAGCAATGCTCAAAATTCAATGCAATTCATTCCCAAGGTGGGAGAGGAGAAGGTATGCAAGCTCCTGACCCTTGGAAATAAGCCCTTCTGCCTCCATTCCTTCGTTTCACAAGCCAGAGACATTGAAGCAGATCTGGGAGCAGCGGTTGATTTCTTTCAGCTCCCTGGGAACAGAGCGCTTGGAGAGACGTCAGTTTGGGGAAGAAAGCTGCCTTTTTATTCCTTTTTATTTTTTTTTTAAAGCAGGTCTGCAGGCTCCATGGATTAGTCCTGGCAAGGCTCAACCTTGCAACTTCTAACTGCTATAACGTGGATTTGGATCCCTGCTGCTGCAGAGGGCACAGACAGAAGGGTGCTGGAGGAGCATGGCTTCTGGGAGTCTCTGATGGCTCATGGAGAGCCTGGGACTGCGTGAGCTGCAGGAGGTGCATTAAAGTGCTGCTGGAAAGAGAAAACGCAAGGAAAAAAGGCCACAAAATACCACCTGGGAGTGCCAGGAATGGAATATGCAGAGGACAGAAATCCAGAGCTTGTCCCTAAGACCAGCACTGCATCCGTGGCTCCAAAGCTCCTCATCCCAATTTATTCGCAGGAACCCTTTCTGCAGCCTTCCAAACAACACTGCTTTTATTGGGAGGAAGTTCCAGCTTCTCCCTGCCCCAGCCATAGCACCACTAAGACACATTGCTCACCCAAAGCCGATTAGGTTGGTTTTCCTTTCTCTTTTGCCCCATTTTCCTGCCGAAAGTGGGTTAGCTTGCATGCACTGCTGTGAGAGCTGCTCTGGATGGCGTTGGGACCTGAGGCACGTCTGCTCTGCCCTGGGAGCAGCACCCCACGATGGCCTTTGCAAAAGCTCCAGCAAAACCCCCACCTGCTGTGCTCATTTCTTTGTTTCCCCTCTCAGGGACTAAATCCCACAGCGGGGTTTGACCACAGGTAGTGCAGCCGTGCCAAGGAGCAGCTCTCCTGCAGCTCAAGAGGTTGAACTGCTCCTCAGTGGAGAGAGGAAATCTGGGTACTGAGAACTCCATTCTCATGGGAGGGATTTGGAAACCTTCATCAGCCAACATCGTGCCTGATGAAAAGCCCAATGCATTGGGATTTTTTTGTGTGTTGAGTGCTTTTGGGAAGGGGGATGATGTGCACATGTAACACAGCCATACCAAATGGGGAGGAAAATATATATCATCAACAGCATCTCTGTAATGCTGCTCCTAGTGCAGGGCTGGCAACCAGGAGAAAAGGGGATTTGCAGAGCTATTTAGGAGGCTATGTTAAAAAAAAAAAAAAAAAAAAAGAGGTTTTGGGTAAAACAGTGAATGTGCCAACATCAGTTACTGAGAAATAGGGAAATTCTAAGTAAAACTGTCCCAAAGTCCCTGTGATGGGGGAAAGGATGAGTGGAAGAGGCGTAGTAGGCAGGAGGGGAAATGTAGGTGTATCCAGGGGGGAAGAGCCCCAGCTCTGGGATTGACACAGCCTGGGGAGATGTGGGAAAGGTGGGAATTCTTCCTTCCCTCCTCTACGTCTTCAGCAACGACCCAGAGAATGCTGTGCTCTCTGCATTTCCCTGCACTGGACATGACCAAAAGCCAAAAGGATTGTACTTAACCTCATTGAAACAATGCTTATCCACTGACTCACTGCACAGGGCAGTGTTTCCAGCTAGGAATAGCTGGGGTTGGCTATGGCTGATGCATTTCTGACTTAAGGGGTGGCTTGTCTCACCTGGCTGACTCCTTCCACTCCATCTCCTCCCCGTCGTGCTGCAGTGTGTCCATCTCTGTGAAGAGTGTGGGGTTGGGGGGCTCATCGTCATCACCCAGGATGTAACGGAGACGTTCAGCAGCTGGAGACACTGATGGAGGGGGGGAAAAACCGTTGTGAAAAGATGAACTCCAGCCAAGCCCTTGCAGAAAGGGCCCAGCAAGAAAAGGAGATTGATTTGTTGGGTTCTATAGGATGCCAGGGTTCAAAAATAAAAATGAGAGGGACTTTGAGCAAAACATTGAAGGTGCCAAGCAGTTATTGAAGAGTGTGGCATCTCTGAGTATATCTGTCCCAAAATCTCTGTGCAAAGAGATAAAATTGATTGGAAAAGACCACTATCATCCAGCCCAACCATCAACCCATCCCTCCCGTGCCCAATAAAGACATGGGATGCTGAAGGAAAGGGTGAGAGAAATGGGTGTAGCAACCAGGAGGGTAATATATCCCTATATATTTACATATACACACCTATGCACTACCTAGTGGGCACTGGGCAGGTTGTGAACAGCAGAATTCAACCAGCCCTACATGCAGTGCAATCAAATTCTCAGCCCAGGAGCATTCTGCACCTCATTTCCATGGGATCTCCTGCATTTTTTCCCCATCCATGGAGTTTGCCAGGTCAGAGCCGCCTGTCATCAGCAACCAAATCCACATCATTACGCTCTGGCACTGCATATCAGGATGCACGACTGCTCTGTGCAGAACTTTCCCTCCAGCTTCCAACCCCCCTTTTCAAGAGGAATGATCTAAATTTACCATTTCTGCAGGAAAATCCGTCTCTTTTGCCACAAACTGCAGGCTGGGTTGGGAAGAACCCCCCCTGCCTCCTGTTTCCCTCTGTTGGGGCAGCACAGTCGCAGCACATCACCCAGCTGCCAACCTCTGTGGCTCAGCCCGTTCTCAAATAGGGTAGAAAAAAGGTTTTGTGCCTTCGAGGCGCTCAACCCAGATGGACACAGGGCGGCTTGGGCCGTTCTTCCTTTCCCCATAGCTGCCCAGCTATTTGAATAAGAGGATAATCAGCCCAACGCCAGGCTCCGTGGAAATGGTGTATTTTTAATAAAATCTTGGGTCTTAGCCCTCACCTAATATGGCAGGAGTTAATCCAGCAATGAAAATGTCTTTGTTAGCAGAATCCTCCTGTTCCCAAACCCTGGAATAAGAAAGTCGGGTAATGCAGCACACGGCTCATTAAGTTGCCATGCAGAGGACAAACTCACAGCGCTGCTGGAGCGTTGCCTTGTCCTGCCAGCAGATCAGCTGAAGGCTGAGTTGTGGCCACTGGGAAAGAATAGGATGTCCCTTGCAGTCCAGCTCAGCCTTCTTAACTGCTTAAACACTTTAAGCCACACCACCAGGGCTTAAAGCCCTGTTGTCAAGTCCTCCTTGCACTTCCATAATGCTGATTATTAAGATTCTTAATATTCCTGTTAATTTTAGAGCTGGGCTACACGCCTGGATGAATACAGGATCTTTATCCTCCAATTATCCTCCTTTATCCTCATGGCATCATTACAGAAGACTTCTAGGATCCCAACCCATCCCACCGTGCCCACTGGCCATGTCCCCAAGTGCCACATCTCCATGGTTCTGGAGCCCCTCCAGGGCGCCAGCACCTCCCTGTGCAGCTGTGCCCCTGCTTCGTTGCTCTTTCTCACAATTTTTCACTGATATCCAACCTGAACCTGTTCCATTGCAGCTTAAGGCCATCACCTCTCATCCCATTGCTGTTAGAGGGAGCAGAGACCAACCCCACCTCACCCCCACCTGCTTCTTTTCAGGGCATTGCAGGGAGCCATAAGTTCACCCCTGCACCTCCTCTTCTCCAGGCTCAACCATCCCAGCTCCCCCAGCTGCTCCCCATCAGACTTGAGTTTTCTCTGCAAAACCTAAATTCACCACAAACCTTAAACGTTGCCATGAGCTGCACTGCAACAGAACGAGCTGCTGGGAATGCCCTTTCCAGGTGGCATCTCCAGATGCATTACAGAAAGGGGATTTTCAGTTTTCCAGGAAAGGGTCAGCGTGGGATGCAGCTCCATCCCCTTTGTGACCACTGCTCACAGCACTGCCCATATTCCCACTGCCAGCTGAAGGAATAGCCTTGTCTCTCAACATGTGCCATGGTTCCTTGCTGAAAGGTGGATCAATGTGCACGGAGCTGCTGAACCTCCCACAAAACACCGACCCAAACAGAGAACTGACTGCTGAAGCTGTGTGCCACAAACCCTTATGATTTGTTCACCTGGAGGACGCTCCTGGCCCAGCACCAGGCTGCAGATTTTTGCTCCTTCTGCAAACATGATCCAGCCACAAAATTAATCTCGGAAATCACCAGCTTGGGAGGATATGTTGAACAGTGGCATCTCCTCAGAGGATGTGGGCAGGGCAGGGAGCTGCCATTCACATCCATCCCACCTTGCTGCTCTCCCAGTTTGCTACTGGTTTGTGTAGCAACATCCCCTGAGGATGCTGTGTGCTGGAGGATGTGGTTTGCATTTGGGAAATGCAACACTGCTGCAGAGACACCCAGAACCAGCACCTACATCTCACAAGAGATCACGGAAACAAGATATCGTGCACACGACAAATCTGTACCTCCCTCAATCAACTCTTAAGGTGGGAAGATGCTCACAGCTTCTCTGTTCCAATTTATACCCAGCAAATCACTTTCAATTCAAGCTGCAGTGGATCCAAATCAAGCCCAGAGATGTGGGACCATCTCAGCATTAACACTGATGATTCAGGATAGCTGTATGCACAAAAGAGCTGAGGTTTCTGTGGGTCATTGCACGGGACAGATGAGTTACACCAACTGGAGGGGCACAGAGCCCTTCACACCACACACTGGATGCACAGTGGAACCTCAGCCAACAGCACCTACCCAAACCAACAACCTCAATGAGCCCCAAACGCAGAGTGAGAAGTAAAGATAGGCTGATGTCCCGTGGGGAGGGGGAAATGCATGGCTGCTGCTCGTGGATAGCAACTGGCAGAGGTACTGCATGACCCCACACACAGCTCCCTTCACAAGCTCCCATTCAGGCTGTCACACGTTGATCACCCACTGTCACTCCACAACAGCCTTTTCCCTGAGTTCCATGGCTCAGAATGGATCTTCTTCCCCCAGATAACACCAGACCGGGGCGTGCATCCCATGCGACCAGGAGCTCTGCTCCCATTCATTTCAAGAAATCAGATGGCCCCAGGTCTGGATTTATCCTCCCAAACACTGCCTGTGCTGCTTCCCTGAGCTGGGACAGGTGCTGACAGAGGTGTGTTCCACCTCCCCACCCCCCCCCGCTCCATTTGGAGATGTCCCCAGGCTCATCCCAGCTATTGCCATCACCAGGACTTGCGCCAGCCCCACGTTGACCCCAGGGAGAAGCAAAGCCCAAAGCAATGGGGACTTTCCTCCCCTCCCCTCCTGCTCCCTCCACCGTGACCACAGAGGAGGAATAGCACACAGCACTGGCTCCTACCTGGAACGCTGTCCTTTTTTTCCCCCATTTCTTCCCGTCGAAACAAACCTTCCCTGCGCAGCACAAAAGCCCCCAAACTTCCTCCTTTATCCACTCAAGCCCGTTAAACTCCCAGGCTTAAGGAGCAGATTATAGAGAATATAAAGCACTTTCCTCTCCCTTCAGCTCTCATGACGGGAAGTTACCAAATCAAGCGAGATGCGTTCAGGAGAGGTGAGCACTTGGGAGCATGTGTGGCAGCAGGGCCAGGGGAGGGAGGGGAAGGATGGCAGAACAAAACCCAGGGACGGGTCTGGGGCTGCTTTGGGGGAGGTGGTTTTCTTTCCCTCCACTTGGAGCCAAGTGGGGAAACCACCTGCAGCGTTTCCTCTGAGTTCAGGCTGCAAACACTGAACTCTGAACCCACGCAAAAAAACTGGAAAACGTTTCCCTCTGTGGGGAAAACCACGGCTGAGATCCCTCCCGCGCTGCTGAGACATGGCAGCAGAGCAGTTGGTTTGACATAAAGCCAAACACAAAGTAAATCAATCAAGAGATCAACGAACACTTTGCTGTGCAAAATGTTCATCTTTGATAAGGAGAATTATGGAGGCTGGGTAAGGTCCTGAGTGACAGACTAAAGGGAACAAAGTTGGGGCTGGAAAGGGGGGGGGAGTTAGATGTTTGCACCCCCAAGACATCGCTGTACAACTCCATGCAACCTCCCAAGAGCAAGGAGGATCTCTTTTCAGACTACCCATCACACAAGCAGCCCCAAATATTGCTTCACGCCCTGCGCACAGCTCTCAGACATCGGGAAAACCAGAGCAGAAAGCAAAAGTCAAGCAGGAAACGCAGCAGGGCGCACACGAGGGTGATTTAACCCTGATTTACATCACGCCGCAAAACCCCTCCTGCTTTCTCAGGAAGCCAGAGGACAACTCACTGGTCCTGCTGGCGTTATCATTGCCGCTCTCGTAGCAGCCGTGGCCGCCGTCGTCGGTGTCGGAGCGCTCCTGCCGCTCGTAGTGCCGCTCGCTCTCGCTGGTCCGGTCCCGGCTGGAGGCGGATCGCCGCCGACGCCGCTTCCTCCGGTATCCCCGGGGCACCGGTACCCCGATGTAGATGGAATGATAATCTGGGATGGGAAGAAAAGAATCAGAAAGCGGGTCTGAGCGTTTCTAGCTTGTAAAGCCTTCCGCTCAAAGCATCCGCAGCCCAGAACGCTGGGCGCTCTGGAAGGTCCCACTGCCATATGACGGGGATGCTCGCTGTGTCTCTCACCTTCTTCATCGTCGTATCTCCTCCTCGAGCTGCTCAGCCCCCGCTCGCTCAGCCCATCCTCATCCTCCAGCATGGTCCTGACTTGTGGTGAGAGCTGAACGGGGAGTCAAGGGCAGAGAAAGGGGAGAGGTGGTGAGAAGTGCCTGGAAGCAGCCTGTGCTACGGGTAATCCCTGCTATGGGAAGCTCTTGCATGTGGCCAAAACCCCAGGGACCTTCCCGGAGGGCTGAGGGCACACTGGGATCTGCCACCTCCTGCAATGTGCTGACCCTCCCCCCATAGCAGCTCAGCCCTGCCTCGCTCTGCACCATCGCTGCCCCCCTGCCCCATCCCTACAGCTCAGAAATGGATTTGACTGGGGTGACATCTCCATCCTTCCCTCCTGCTGCTGGCAGGAAGGTGTAAGCGATTATTAGAAGGATTTCCCAGTATGATGATGCAGACCTGCTTGGCTAACAGAGCTGCTGCAGTGGGGCTGGTTGGGGAATAAACAGATATTTAACTTGTAGGGGGACGAGCACAGCTAAAAGGGGTTGTGTCAAAGCAGAGTTTGCCTTTCCCCGTATCCTGAGCACAATCTGATTTTCTGCTGCACACGTTTCCACTTCCAGATATCTTCCTACAAACCTACGCTTTTATTCCCCATGTGAGATTATTTGGATTTTGCCACGGACACTAATTAATCTTCCTAATTATCTGACCTCCAGGGATTGTCTTTCACACTTGACTTGGACGGGGGAATGGTTACTACTAGTGGCAGCCCAGTCGATGCCTCCCAAAGTCACTTTGAGAGCAGCTCTCTCTGCATCCCCTGCTCTGCCTGCCTGCATCCATGGCAATTTACTGCCATTCATCTCCTGCAGGGAAGCAAAATCCCAATTCAATCCCAAAAAAGTTTAAAATAAAAAGCAAACTAGATGTGCATACAAGGAGCCAGAAGGATCCTTTGCTGGCCAGGTCAGCTCTGCTTGAGTTGCTGAATTATTGACTTGCTTTTCCCTAAGGCAGAGACCACCTTGTGACCAACACAGGCTCCAGCCTTAGCTAATTGCCTCCTGAAGACATGAAGACACTCCTGATCTAACAGATTTGGGGTTTTTGACACATTAGTCCAATAGTTCTTGCTCAGGTGTAGGAATCAATCAATTTTTAGGGTCAACAGCTCTGGGTGGACAAGCATGCCCCAAAGCTGGCTGTATTGGAGGATAAAACCCATCAGCTGCGAGCTTTGGCTTCCTGCAAATAACGTTATGGGGCTTAATTTGGGGATTCAGGAAGCTGATGCTGGCAAGAGAAACAGCATCATGCTTACCCAGCTGTGGGTATAAATAATTTTGCTTTAAAACTGTTCCAGCAGATGAATGCCATGAACCCCCCCAAGGGCAGCAGTGTTGGGTGTGGATGGGGACACGCAGCCCTCCTGCTGGGTTTACATTGCTAAGAAATACAAATTATTTCATTTCTTTTTTTTTTTTTACAGCCTATCCTGGCCAACATGAGCTCCACCACGGCTCTGTTTGGCAGAAAAAAAAATAAGCCAACAAAATTCATTTCCCCAACAAAAGCACACTTTGCTAAATCCGCTGGTAAATAGAAGGTCCCGACTGAAGCATCCAAGCTGTGCCTCGGGATGTTTTTCATCTCATTTTCTTACATAGGCAGTTTTATTTCCCCCCAGAAGTCTTTGCATATAAACACAAGTGTGACACAGACTAGAACTGGAGGGGAAACATGACCTAAAGTGCCGTACAAGTAAAAGGAGAGAGAAAAGAAGAGCACATCCATACCACCCAATTAAACCCCACTATCCCCACCAGCTTTCACGTCCAGAAAAGCAAATGTTAACACCAACAAACTCACCTCTGGCTCTCCAGAAGCACTCAGAAATTGGAGGGGCTGCGCTCAGCGTGGGGATGCAGTGGGTGCTGATGGATGCAGGAGCCTGGACTGCCTCGGGAGGAAACCACTCCTGCAAACGTCGTATTGACGCCCATTGGCTGCAGTTCTGTAGCTGCCAGGTTAAAATGTATTTTTGGGTGATGCTGATTGACTTTTGGGGTAGAAAAGCATCATGGGATGCAAATAGACCTTCAGAGAGGTTGTGACATTCATGCCATGGAGACCTGGTGGCGTGCAATGATGCTTTCCAGATGGGATGTAACAATATTTTGGCTGCCAATCTCTACCATCCATGATCTGCCTCTCCTGAGTTAATTGCTGCCTCTTTAATTATTGATCCCTATCAGTTTTGCCTCGATTGATGGGGAATGGGGAGAGGAACAGCTTTTGCTCTTTGGCTCAGTGCAACCTCACACACAGCAAAGAACATGAGGAAATTACTTGGGGAGGTGGGGAAGCACTGCCAAGAGGCAGAAAGCTCCTGAACCCATCAGGGACCACAGGAGCAGCCCAAGTGCCACCAAAGTCTTTGCCTTTTTGATACACGTTCCACGTTTTGCCTTTGACACGTGAAATATCCACGAACTTGAGCACAAGAGAACCAACCTCTTGGCTTTGTGAGCGGGTGAGGCGCTCCCTCGCCTGCCTGAGTCCATTTAACGCCTGGCTTGCTCACGCCTGTTCAGCCTTTTAACAGGAATATCAATAAATCTGCATCAAAGCAGCATCAGACACTTGGCTGCAGACAGTCCCATCGTTCAGCAAGCAAGCAGAGAAATCCTGCCTTAGGCTTTAAAGCTGTCTGATAGCAGCGCTTTTCCTCTCACCTCTCTGGCATCATCTGGAGTCTCAGCAGAAGCAAAGTCTGTTTGATGCTTTATCCCTGTTTGCTAAATGGGAATAGCAGAGCAGGGTGCCAAGCCTCCCTGCACGTTGCATGCAGTGTATCTCCACCACTCAGTGCCTGCTACAAAGCATCTCTTGTTAGTCCAGGTAGGAAAACCTGCTATGTGCTGCACTCCAGCCTTCCCAGGCTCTGCCCAGCCAGGAAACGGTACAGAGACAACAGCAGCAGCTTGTCCAGTAATAAAGAAAGAGAAAAATAACAGAATGAATTTTCCCCAGCTATTACACGGAAATTAGCCCCAAAGAGCAGGCTGGATTTATCAGCTTGTATATATAATGGTTTTATTAAGTGCCTCCCCAGAGACTGGAGGAGGAAGGAAGAAAAAAAGCAAAACCTCTGGGGCTTGTGAGATACCTGGATGAAGACAAACACCTGTTATTCCTTAAATGATCGGAAGCACCTGGAGGTTTTGACCTTCTTCACCTGCAAGAAATCCCACAGTGTTGGTCACATTGCTTTAAAACCACTCAACAACCCCACTGCTGGTTCACAGCTCCATTTTCAGTGCAATCTATAGGAACCACCTGCAAAAAGCCCTTTCCAGGCTTGTGGTGGGGAGGGTTTCTCATCTGGTTAAAGGAAAAAAGTCTCAAGACAGGCAGAAGAGGGAGACAGAGCCCAGCAGTTGTGTGCAGCACAGTGCAATGGGGGCCCACATTACAGAACTTGGCTCCTGGCTTCTAAGACGCCCTTATTAAGAAGAAGCACATCTAATAACTGCAGCCTTTCTTTTGCTGGGGGGTGCAGCAGAAAACAAAACAAAACCACATTTTTAAGAGCAGACTTTTTGTTCTTTCCATTTTTGCTTGTGAAGTGACTTTGCCCACTTGATGGATGCGGCTGCCACCGCTGCCCTAAGGGCGCCCATGGGTTCCTCTTGGGGGAAAACATCTCCAATCGATGCCTCCTCCTCTGCACTCACCGAGCTGTGTTTGACTTTGGGCTGATGGATGGCAAAGCTTTCACCAATGGGTTACAGCTGAACCAGCACAGGGGAGCTCTGCAAGGCTTTCACTCTTGGCTTGTTTTGATACAAACGCAGTCATATTTTTGCAATCCATCTGCCCTGGGCTTCGCTCTGTAAGCGTGATTCCCAGCGTGGCCCATTTATCCCAGTCAGCATATTTAATTCCTATATCCTGAGCAATGCAGAAGGGAATGGCTGCTTTGATCACCAAGATGCTGCAGTGAAAACAATGAATGTTAAAAAGAAAAATCCTTTCCTTGTCTGGTCTTTAGATTTGGTCTGTGAAAGAATCATGGAATCGTTAAGGTTGGATGAGAACAATAAGATCCCTCATTCCAACCCCAACCCATCCCACCATGCCCACCAACTGCATCCCTCAGTGCCACATCTCCATGGTTCCAGAACACCTCCACAGATGGTGACCCCATCACCTCCCTGCACACCCCGTGCCAGTGCCCAACCAATCTTTTGGAGAAGAAATTTGCCCTCATATCCAACCTGAACCTCCCCTGGCACAACCTGAGACCGTCACCTCTTGTCCTATCTCTGCTAACTGGGAGCAGAAGCCAACCCCCTTCACCACAATCTCCTTTCTGCGGTTGTAGAGAGCCATAAGGTCTCTCAATCCTTCAGGAGGTCAGGCTAAACAAGGAACATAAGGATACCCCAACGCGCACTGGTGATGCTTCTTCCCCCCCCAGCAACTCAACCAGCATGCAGCAAGTGCCAGTGACACTGCAAAACAGAACAGCAGTCACATTTATTGTGTAAAAACTTTTAAAAAAGAGATGTACAAATACTTCAAGTCAGCAATGTGGTAAAAGGGCCCTGGGGAGCTCATGTGCCCACACAACGCATTGCACTGCTCCAGCCTCCCAAAGCTACTTAGCAGTTCTCCCCAAAGGGATCTCCTGAACCTGAGGATACATTGCAACATTTTCACATTCAGCATCAGCTGCCTCACTGACAGTTTTACTCCAACCTTCTTTTTCCACCGCTGCTTTCAGCCCTCCAGCTCCTCACTTTTGGCTGTAACAGACAAGCCTTCCTCCTCTTCTTCCTCCTCTTCCTCCTCCATGGCATTGATGGGGATGTATCCTCCTTCCTTGGGCAAGCACCAGCACCAGCCCGCACCGCTCAGATCCAATGCCCCGAAGCTGAAATCGCGCACCTCCAGCATCCTGAAGTCCACGGTGTCCAGCTGAGAGTAAATCTCATTGAGCTTCTGCCAATACAGCCACGCCATCACCAGGCCGACCACCTGCAAAACGCACACGTCAAAGCCACCACAGGCATGCAAACCATCCCCAAAGGTCTTTGTGTGCAAGAGGGGCTGTCACCCTCACTCCCCAGCCTGAGCAAGAGATGGGAGAGGACGAGATGCAGTAATGCCAGCTGACAGAGCAGGAGGATCTTTGCTAAATCTGCTGACAGCTCTGTCTGTCTCATGACTTCCCTGACCGTGGGCCATGCTGGATATCACTGTGAGCATTGCAAAGCAAGTGGCACAGGTCTGCGTTCTGGCTAAAATTAGGGTAACGCTGCAAGCAAGGTGCCACTTGGGTTATTTCCCTGCTTGGCTGTCAGGGGAAAAAAAAACCCAACAATTTAGATCTTAAGGAGGGTGAAGACAAGCATTTCCAGCAGCCCAGGGATTCAAGTCCATCACTTGATTTCCCCCGATGCTTCCTTTGGGGTGATACCTGTACCACCCATCCACTGGCATCTCCTGCAGTGCATTGCTTTGGGAGCTGAAAAAATAACATCTTTTGATCACTGAGCTGGGTCCCAGCTGATCCATTAGGGTCTGCAAAGGGGGGAGTGTAGGAAAAGACAAATGGGGATGTCATGCAGCTTAAACCAGGGATCAGTGGGGACTCCCAAATGGAAAGGAGGCAAACTCCTTTTGGTGAGAACTATTGGTGACAGGTTGGACTGGATGATCTCGCAGGTCTTTTCCAACTTTGGTGATTCCATGATTCCACAGGGGAAAAAGCACATCATAAAAAGTGTTACCTGGTGAGCTGAAAGCAAACCCAGGCCAACACAAACAGCATCAGGTTCATCCATTTGCCTTTCAGGGACAGAGAAATGCTCCACCAGCCCCACCAGCAGTGCCCACTGCACAGAAGATACCTCCATACCACTCAATCTTGGTTTTCCTTCCCCACATTCTCCTGGAGGTGGATCCAGAGGGGAAACCCACTCAAAGCTGATTGCTCTTTGCTCTGCACGAAATGGGGAAAACCACATCCACTGGGGTGCTTTGCCAGCACAAAGCCCTCCCTTGAGGTCTGCTCCCCACTCTGGCTCTCAGCTTGACTCCATCAATCCTCAAACAGCATCCTGCCTATTTTACACTCCAGCTAATTAGGGCAAACAATAAGCATCTTCACCCCCTTGATAACAGGATGAATCACCAGAATAACAGGCACGGTGCAGGGGCTGCTGTGTGGTTATGGCCAGCAGGGCTCTCTCCAAAATGCAGAAAAAATGAGTGAATGCCATTAGGGTTCTTTGTTTGGGAAATAGGATTGCAGACACTGCAAGAAAAATTGAGCTGCAGGGACCTGTGGGCAGGAGGGATGCAGGAGGCCAAGGCGATGCGCGGTGCTTGGGGGCACCTTTATCCCCCTATGGAAACAAGAGAGAACACAGAGCAACCACTGCAATGCCCATGTGAAAATAAGATTGTTCTCATCCACGTCCAACAGCAGAGCCCCCAAGGACTTCAAAAGTTTTAAAATAATACTCAAATATATGTCAATGCTCCAGCATTATTTACTTCTGAGAGGTCATTGGGCAGCTTAACAGCCCACTGCTGTTAGAGTGAAGGGACCAGGAAGGCAAACCTCTTTGAAGGGACACATCTTTAGGCAAGCACATAAAATTTTTCCTCAGTTCACCAAACAGTAATTCAGGAAAAAAGATCCGTGTCTACAATAACTTGAATCCAAATGGATCCCATTCTGCAAAATCAGCCAGGTTTGGGGATGCAGCACTGGAAATTTGCCTCCTGCTTCTCTCCTCCTGATGGGACGCAGCATTGGGGTGAAGCAGAGGATTTATTTAACTTCATTAAGGTACCCCACGTCCTCAGCCAGCAGCCTGCATCCCCACGCCTTCGCTCTCTTCTGAGTAATGAACCAAGTGCCATTCCAGCTCAGCTCTAAATATCCTCTTCCACTTAATGAAAATGGAAAAAGCTGTCAGGAATATAGATGAATTCAATATCCCCAGCACCAAGGGCACCATGTTTTCCAGAAGTAAAGAGACTTCTAATGGGAGTGCTGATTTTATTGTGCTGCGCTATGAAGGAAGGCTTTATTGCGGAGTTGCCACAGTGGGTGAAGCATCAGATTAAAGAAAAAAAGGAAAGATGAAAAAAAAAGTTGTTCTTCTCTCTGCTTTTTCCCCTTGTAATGACTTCATGCTACCGCTGTCGGGTCACTGGAAGCAGTGATCTGCCTGTTCTTTCTGGCTGGTGTTCAGCAAGGGACAGAAAGCGCCGCTGCTGCCTCACGAGGTCCCTACTTCTCTGCTGTTTCCTATCTGTCTGTCTTCTCCCAGCTGCAAATGAACAGCTTTGAGCTGATAAATCAGCATCTTACTGCAGCCAATGCCCTTTTTCTCCATCTTTCAGCATCGCTCTGGGTCTCATCCAGAAAGCTGCAGCTGAACTCTGCCCAAAGCACCCAATCTGGGCAAAGCAACCTCATTTTCCTTTTCAACCAGCAAGAAGGAACTAGAGAGGGGGACCTCTGCGATCAGCAAGGGCCATCTGTAAGCTCTCCCATCCAACCCAAGCAGCTAAAGGAAATTCAGGGCTACCAGAGGGAAAAAAATGAAGCTCTCCAAAGCACAGATTGTCAGAAATTTTGCCCTTGTTCCTGACCGTGAGCCACCTGGGAGGATGGAGAGGTAGGCAGCCTGATATTTTTGTTATTTAACTCAAAGACCCGATGATCACTGCTCAGTTCAACCCAGAAGATTCCTGTGAGCGTCTGCAATTCCGTGCTACTGGCTTTCTCTGGAACACCTGTGAGTTTTCTCTATGCAAAACAGCAAAAGCTCAAAAAGCAAATTAAAAACGCGTTTTGATCCTGAGCCTATAATTATTTCTAGCTAACTTAGATTAGTGACACTAATTATAACTGGGCACTGTATTATGTTTTAACTATGGGTGTCTGCCTGTCCAGCTGAGCAGCAACAGCAGGACAACATCTGCTGATGTTTCCAAACCATTGCTGCAGAAAATAAACTGTTATTGAACCTGAGAGAGCAAATGTGTCACCTCATCCACCACTATTACTCCAAGGCACAAAGAAATGCCTTAAGAGGTACCCAGGAAAGGTGGGAAAGAGATGGTTTGGTAAGGGCAGCTCTGGGCATGGAGGAAATAATCCACTGGCCCAACAAGGGTCTTCTGCAAGCAAAATTTTCTGCAGGAAAACACTTTTTCCTCCCAGCTATGGAGGTCCTCTCCCATTTGCGCAGCGGTAAAGCAGGATGGATGATGCTAACAAGAAGAGCTAAATCATTTTGAGCTTTCCCAGAGTTAATCAAGTAAAAGTATTTATGTTTTATTGTCTCTCCCTTCCACAAATTGCTATTTAAAGGCAGGGTTCTCACAGAGGTCACAGAATGTAGATGGAAAAATTATTTTTACTCCTTG